CATGTCTCAGTCACACAGAGGAAATCCAATCCTCGGGACGTGAAGAAATCCTTTAAGACAAAAGTCTTGTTCGCTAGTGATCTAGCATTTACCAGGCCAATCCTGGCAGGAACTGGCGGGGCCGCGGCGTTGGCTGTCCGGGGAGCCCGACACAGAGGCCGCAGGTTGCGGTGATTTACTCCGCGCCAGCGGGGACGAGGAGAGCAGGGGGTGACGTTTTAGTCCAGTATCTGCTCGATGAAAATTTGGATATTGGCCAAAAATATATGCTGAAATGGCAATAAAATGGCACAATTTTAAATAATTGCCAACAATAATATGCCTGAGACATTTTGTAAGTGCCAAGTTAAAGGGGCATCAAACTGCTTTGGTGCAATCAATTACATTTGATGAATTATCAAAGATAATAAATAATGACTTTAACTTACTTTAAAGATCCTCAGAGCACTACCCTTAAAGGAGGAAAACGATGCTGATGATTGATTTATTCAGTAAAATAAGCTAAACTCTTAATTTGGAAATCTGATTAATAGTTAAATTAATAAATTACACCCAAAAACTCCTTCTCAATAGTGGAAGGATGTGGATTTCTGCATAGAAAAGGCTGGTACCAGCCACTCTTGTGAAATTGAATAGGCCAATATGTAGAAACACAATTGTTTATTAAAAAGATAATAGAGGCTAAACAGATACACCACACAATACAAAGTCTAACTTAAAAGAACTAAGCAAAGGAAAAATGTTTAAATACTGTTCAAAGCTAACCTAAAGATGGTTTGTTACACAGAACGATCTGGGGAGTCATTGGTGGAAACTATTTGCAAAAGGGCAGGAACTTGAATGAGATGACTGAATGAACCACCATCTACCATTGTCTATCACAGGCAAACTTCAACCAATCAGATCAACAAGCCATATAACAAAGTCAAACTTGTAACCAAGCCGGTCGAGAGAAGAGCAAAAATATATTTTCCATTGAGAAAGACCCTCATTGCTCTTGTTTCAATAAAGAAATACTTTGCATAACTGATGTGACTGGAGATGCTGCAGCACTTCCTCCTCCCAGGGTCTTCAGGGGACGCATATGGTGCCTTCATGAGTCATCATCATTCAAGATAGTGCATGCTTAGCCTCAACTTGGTCCTTCCACACTGCTGTTACACTCTCTTTTTTACAGACTTAAACAAGCCCATGGTTCTGGCTCACAACTGATATGTCAAACAATGTAAATAACATATAAGTTTAGGTAAAAACGGACTGGTAAATTTGTCATAGTCTGATATATTCCATTCAGTTTTCATAGCTTCACAGCTTCATTAACAACATTTTTACGTTGTCTCTGTTTTACCCAGTGCTACTGCTGCAGACATCTCCTAGGTGCAGAGGTCACCAGGGGTTACAGCTTTGTCATCACCTGCTCCATTTCCTCCCACTATCCTGGAGGTGTTTTCTCTCTCATCTTCTCGGGCTCCAACATCCATCCAGCATCCATCCAACATCAAACATACCATGTTTCCACCGAATAAATCAAGATGACTCACTTAATTCACTCAGAATAAACCAAAAACAAAACAAAAGCATTATATCAAAATGTTATGAAACCTTTATAGATGTAAAGCTTAGTGGTTCTGTTTCTGCTCTCTCCCTGATCAATCATAATCAGACAAATGAATAGATTTAGAAATACATAAATGAATAAATAACTGAACATTTAAATAGATAAATGAATATATGTAGAAATACAGAAATAAATAAATGTTAAAAGACAACAAAAATGGCCATTTTCATGACATACGTGTATTTATTTATCTTTTTAATGAATTTAATTACTTATTTCTGCATTTATTCATCAATTTATTCATGTTTATTTCATTGTTTGACTTTCATACAGACTTAACTCAGAGAGAAGTGTTACCACATCATTAATAGATAATGTTTTAGATGTGAGAAAGGTTTAAGGCGTGCCATGTTTCAGCTTTCACAACAGGGTAAATGTGTGTTCTTTCAAAGCCACAGAATTCAGTGCATAAACTAACAGTGTAAGCACCCGAGTTGTCGATGAGGAGCCAGTCCCCCACATGCAACTCAGGAAGCCAGTAGTCG